AGAGAGAGAGAGAGAGAGAGAGAGGAGAGAGAGAGAGAGAGAGAGAGAGAGAGAGAGAGAGAGAGAGAGAGAGAGAGAGAGAGAGAGAGAGAGAGAGAGAGAGAGAGAGAGAGAGAGAGAGAGAGAGAGAGAAAGAGAGAGAGAAGAGAGAGAGAGAGAGAGAGAGAGAGAGAGAGAGAGAGAGAGAGAGAGAGAGAGAGAGAGAGAGAAAGAGAGAGCAACAATAAAAGGAAAAATAAAAGGAAAGGAAAAAACGAACTACACTGATGAACAAGCTGCATATAACTATCAGATTCACGATCCGCAGCAAAGAGAGAGAGAGAGAGAGAGAGAGAGAGAGAGAGAGAGAGAGAGAGAGAGAGAGAAAGAGAGAGCAACAATAACATGGATAGAGACTATAATCAGTAGAGCATTATAAGATTCATTGGTCGAGTCTTTGATGTTGGTGAACCAATTGTGACAGGGGCGACCACGGGGTCTTGATCCAGACACCATTCCATCCAATAAATAGTTGGAGTAGTTATTGTGATGCCAGTAACTGTTGAATCAAGGCATGTGAACGGCCAATAGCATTCTTGACTTCCTGCAGTACTGACTCATTTGTGCGATGATGATAGTATTTGATGCCAAGCAGCTTACGCAGATACCTAAGCTCAAAAAGCTCTAATTCGGCTCAGGCTAGCTCGTGAGATGGTCCAGGCCTGGCAGCCATAGAGTACAATCACTCAGTAGCAAAAACAATAGCAGTTAACAAGTATTGAAGAAAGGAAAAGGACAAAATGTTACGAGTTATGACAAACTGTCCACCAACGTAACCAGATCTTATACAGTCAGCAAGTGCGACAAATTGGCACAAAACTGACAAGGAGTACTGAGACATTCGGCGACCTGACACCTAGCTCCAACACTTCTCCAAAGTGCAAACCAACAACCTGCGGATGCTGCTGTTGCTGCTGCGGATGCTCAGTTGCTGATAGTGCTGTCGCGGATGCTGCTCGTGGTTGTTGGTGGTTAGTGGAATCCGATTGTCTGATGCTGTTGCGAGTTGTCATGAGATGTCTCTTCGGCAAGCAGTCTTGACTCTTGTGCAGTATGCCTGCACACCCTGAATACATGACATGAGCTGGACGTAGAGTCTTGAAACCAGAAAGTAGTGAAATGCCGGTATTTTACTACTTCAAAGTACTCCCACTAACTACAAGAACAATGTCATGTACATGTACGGGGATTGAAATGGTAGTTACTAAGTTCATGCATGATATCAGTAATCATAGGCTAACATATGCGTGCAGCAGTCCACAGTGCAGAGAAGTCAGGAGAATAGTCAAAGATTGCGCTGAAATGGGCGACAGAGGTGTGCCAGCTGGGGATGCCAAGGCGGGAATCTGCGACTGGATGTACTTGAAAACAGCCTGGCTCTTGATAGCCGCAACATGCTCCAGTTTGAAGAAGGTCTTCACCGTGACATTTTGGCTCTGTTGATCAGCCCAGTCTGCACAGCGAGCGAGACTATGTAGCGGCACCGTACCGTCTCCATCACCATACTCTACATGTGCGGGCGGGGAGCCATCTAGTTCCTTATACGTGTAGTGCCAGGCAGTAGCCACTCCAGTGCCGTACACACAGTGAACCGGAACGCCAGGCGCTTCCAGAGACATTCGCATTTCATTCAGATAATCAAGCCTCTTGTCCGGGTAAGGCACGCCGATATCAGCCAGGAGCTGAACCGTATTCCCTGTGCCATAGATGGTCTTGTTTGACCCCTCCACCGTCACAAAGTTAGCGACATTCTCTGGCCACAGGTCAGGAAGAGGCATGAGGAAGAAGCTACTCTCCAAAGTGCGTTCCATCGTAGCGAGGATGTTTTCTGGAGCGGGCACGCCGAAGTTTTCGCCGGAAATAATGGCCTTGGCGACTTTTGGTGAGCCTGTCCACACACCATCTACAGGAAACCACGCGGATATATATTCGTCTTTCCAATCGGATGTTGTTTGGTTGAAGAAGGCCTGCATGACTGGCCCACCCATGCTGTGCGAGATGACGATGGCGGGGCTCTCAGACCGGTTTGACACTTGCTCGATGAGATGTTGAACGTCGTCAAAATAAGTATCCGCCTTGCCCCCTATACGACCAACAAACAAAACACATGCACATTAGGATTGGATTCAAGTAGCTGGGTTTTTGAAATACAACTGGCTATTATCTATTCTCATCTGGCTTTCTCCACACACTGGAACAGAACATGTAGCACTCGAAGTACACGCATTGTAAGATGTTTAATGTTCGCTCGTGATTTTCGCGAATTTAACCGGCCTGATTAAATGCTGGTTTTAATACATCAAGCTTTGATAATGGGCATATATGTACAGTGAAACCTGTCTAAGACGACCGCTCAAGGGACCTTCAAAACGTGGTCTCTGTTACCAGGTGGTCTCCTTATCCAGGGTCATTTGACTTGAAATAGCATCCCTTGGTCCTGGTTCCAGTGGTCTTCTAGGACAGGTGGTCGCCGTATCCGAGTGGTCGCCTTGACAGGTTATACTGTACATGTGCAGGGGCGGATACAGGGGGGGGGTTCAGGGGGTTCGGACGAACCCCCTAAAATAATTTCGACCATGGGTCCAGTCGATTTTTTGTGATATCTACGTGCGCAGCCAGCGAACTGTAGCGTAGCCAGTAGTAGACTTCACTACTGCATGCAGTAGTCACTGACTACAGGCAGTGCAGGTACAAGGTCACTGCATGCATGCAGTGCAAGTGGTCGGGACTGTTGTACGCGTATTAGTCATGGCCCAAATTTGCTCTGCCCACATCGATATTTTGCCGCACAATTTTGCTGCAAGATTTTCGATATTCTGCTCGGCATTTCCTTTCTCTGTCGATATTTTGCTTTCATTTTGCTCGAGATAAAATGAGTTTCAAGGAAAAATCTACAATCACTGTCGCTGATGAATACGGAATTTTGGATTGGGCTCCAGCTGCTGCTCAACTTTCTACAAAAATGTAGCCACGAGTCTGTTTTGTCCTACTTTTATGCTCGTTTTCAACCTTGGTGACTGATTGTGTTGGGGAAGTCCCTAAGAAGCCTTGGATTTTCCGAAAAGCCCACCAAAACTCGATATTTTGCTCGAAACTTGCCGGCAACTTGCGCATCCGATATTTTGCTCAAAGAATTGCTAGCAAATTTGGGCTATGACTAACGCGTATCGTTCGAATCGAAGGGTCTGTAAGCGGATCATGTGACTTGAAACGATCGATAGTTCAAGTGGTGGAGCAAAAGGTGGAAAAACTGCCACTTGTCCTCCTTCCTTGTCGTTTTGTTTTATTTCGCGCTGGCTGGACTGTAGGTTTCCTCCGTCGCAGTACGAATAATGTTTGTGTTTGTCGTGTAGTTTGCCATGTCGCGGTGGAGCAAAAGGTGGAGAAACTGCCACTTGTCCTCCTTACCTTCCTTGTCGTTTTGTTTTATTTCGCGCTGGCTGGACTGTAGGTTTCCTCCGTCGCAGTACGAAGATGTTTGTGTTTGTCGTGTGGTTTGCCATGTCGCGACGTCTGCCAAAGAGGCGAGCGGCCGATCAGTTGCCATTGAGCTTGGCTTCGTTCGGCCGTGTACGACGCGAATGTGACGACACGCAGTCCCAGCCGGAGGACAGTCAGAGAACTTCGCCTTCCGTCAGTTCGGAAAATGCTGCAGTCACGGCCTTAGTTTCTGCCTGTGTTGCAGCTTTGTACTTTGTAAGGCTCTAAACCATGTAAACGCATTACCCTTGTCTTATTGGCCAAGCAATGCAAGGGCTACCGTGACAATAAAGATTTTGCGACTCCCGGTGTAGTGAACGAACCGAAAACAGTTTGAAGCGAATTTAATTCTGTGCACTCGAAAAAATTTGAACCCCTCTGAAAAATTCGGTATGCCCCCACATGAGCGCGACCCAAAACAGCGCCGTTGACTTCAGCGCCCCCCAAAAGCCCCATCCCCATAACTGGACATCCCCAAAACAGACCACCCCGTCAGCGCGCACGCTCAATACAGGTCGACTCATTTACACTCAAACCCAAAAGATGGACACTCGACTTGTCAAAGACTCAAATCATGATCAACTCGAAATGGCCAGTTCAGTATTGAAGGGCGATATTGCCTGGACTCAATTTATAATCAACTCTAGAAAGCAATGATGAACTAAAAAAAGCAATTATCGACTCAAAAACACCAGTTCAGTATTAAATGGCGATATTGCCTGGATGGACGTTAACAGGTCCAGATACAAATAGGTTGTAGTCCACGAACCACGAACCTTCCAAGTTGGAAGGTTGGTTTGCGCACTGGAGATGTGTTAGAGCTAGGTCTCGGGCCGCTGAATGTCTCAGTGGCCTGTCAGTTTCGTGCCCTATTATCGCACAGTCACTTTCTGACTGTTTATCATCTTGTTACAGTCGTGGATAGTTGCTGCACAAGTTCTAGGCCCCAGCGGCAAATGCTAGCACCCAAAGTAGCATAAAAGGGCCTTTTTGTGACTCCACACGATGCTAGCATAAACAGCAGTTTTTACCGGCATCCGATACATTTTTGGCAATTTTGGCATTCTGGATGTGGAATTCGGTCTAGATTACACTATGAAACTAGTATTACGGTACTACCACATTGATAATTGCATGCACTACATTCAATTTGTTTGCATTACCTAGTTGTGACCAAAACCCACATTGCCATTGGTACTTCTTGGTATTTGCTCTTTTGTATTGCAAATATTTCCATAGCAACATGATGCCAACATCGCACCTTTAAAAACTCTTTTCACATACCTGCTTTGTGAGAATTCATAAATAGCACGGAACACCGTTTTCAACCCAAATGTTTCACCATTACCATTAATAGGTAGCATAATTCGTGTTGTCTAGCATCCAAATTAGCATCTTTCTGAGTTGTCAGCTAGCATCCCAAAAAGCATCTTGGCAACATTTAGCTAGCATCTGCCGCTGGGGCCTATGCAGCACAACTCGTTCTCATGTGTTTCTTCTCTTTTTTGCATATCTTTTTTAAGAACGGGTTTCCTCCTGATATCCACCATGGTAATACTAACATCAAGAGTACATAAAACTGGTTATGCACGCTTGCTAACATGAGCCTGCACATTATGGGTCACGTGTGTAATGAGCTGGCTTATATTCGGACGTTAACGTAATTGATCGCGCCAAAATGGGGCGTGCAAGAGATGAGACGAGCTGTAGTGACACCGTGTCACATTAGGTCGCGCTGTACTGGGGGTGCTAATATGAACACGCGCCGTTTATGGTTGCGCTGTTTTGGGTGTAAATCAAAAATTCCTGGATCCGCCCCTGATGTGCCTGTGCAATGCTCACTGGACATAGAGCACTGTACGCACATAGAGCACTGTACGCACATAGAGCACTGTACGCAGCCCGAGGACCTTAGACAACTGTCTACATGTACCTGTATGTGGTCACTGGTCACTGTGCGCCGTGAATATTTGCCATCAAAACTCGCTGGTTCTGCGTACCGTATTTCCGCAAATAAAAGACCGTCCTCGTATACAACGCCTTCCTTGAATACAAGGCCGGGGCAGGGGGCGATTGAAAAAAATACAAGACTGTCTCCGATTAGAAGACCGGGCCTAAATGAGTCTTACGACTGTGTGCTCAAAATTGTGGCAAAAATAGAAGACTGTGCTCAAACTGTGTGGTGAAAAATAGGAGACCGGGGTCAAACTGGGTTGAAAGAATAAAAAACCATCCTCGAATACAAGACCGTCCTCAATTATAAGGCCAGGTTAGGACGAGTTTGAAAAAATAGTAGACCGGCCTACTATTTGCGGAAATACGGTATTGAGCAGGGAATAATGCTTTCTTGCAGGTTTGACGAATGGAAGGTTCGACTTGTACGCCGGTGAGTTTGACCAGAAACATGTTTGCATGTTGTCATGACGACTATTAGGAATACCGTTATGTCGCGTATAAAAGCAGGTGCTTACGGCCGTATAAGCCGATGTCAGTGCTAGGCTTCTATTTAAGTCAGGCTTCTATTCAAACCATGTACTTCCTCCCCGCGGCGTCATCGAAATTGTCGCAGTTTGACTGGTGACTTGTCACTTGTTACTAACAACTCCATATGCTAAACCATACAAAAATGATTGCACAATATGATAGTCTAAAGGCTAGAGTAACGTTCCAGGACAGTTGGACTGAGAGTTTTCACGCAGAGATGAAGGCCTCGTCGTCGCTGATGTCAATGGACTCAAAAATATCGTTCCGAGAATTTTCAAGGAAGGTTGTAAGTTGGTCGAACCTCATCTCAAACGCTTTGACTTTCTCCACAGGACAAGAGCTGCTATGCTTGTCGTCTGCCAGCTCTGGATGATTTCTACTTCACCACCAACGAAGTAAGAATGGACAATCGTTGCGAGGTCGGTTGCCATGATTACCGTCAACGGAATCACCTCGATCTTGAAATGAACTTTTTTTAGCCATGACGTGCCCTTTTATTTTAGCTGTGTGGTCACAGCTCATGCAGGTAAGTGTACTATCACGTCCAGTGCGCATTCTTTTTCAGCATCACTGGTACGGCACCTGCGCGTGCATCACTAGTACTACATGTAGAGTCTACATACCTCTTGCAGGTACAATCATGTACTGAGTCACTCAGTGTCTCAGCCAGAGCGATACATGTTATCGCTCTTGCATGCATTCAGTTTGCTGACCCCTTGATGTTTCTCCCAGCGCTGTTGCTTGTTCCACAATGTCATTCTCACCCCAGCTAGGGTAAAACAGTGATGAGGCTTTCGGTGATTGGCTATAAGCACGAGAAATGTGCAGGCTGCAATGCCTGACTGATCTCAGCGAGTCGAAAGTACCATCGCAGCAACACCAGCAAAGAAATTGGGTCTAGTTCCAATATTTCAGCTTTCAATAACAGAAAATAGAACTTTGCCGTCACCCTATACTGATGGCTATCGCCTATGTCCGATTCCTTGCCCCGTTGTATATCAAAAGTCAAACTGCAACAATTTCGATGACGAGGAGGAAGTATCTCTAATAATGATTCTCTATGTATGTCAATACTAAAACCAGGTTTATGTGATGACAGTGTATCTTAAAAATCAGGCTTCTGTTCAAAAAGGGCTTCTATACAAAACAGGCTTTTATACAAGACAGGAAGACACTACAGTAACTATGGCAACTGCAAAGGGATTACTCTTGTGACAAGGTAACCATACTGTAATATACCAAACAGTCAAATCACCAAAAATATGGGTAAAGTCAGTTGAAGAGTTGTATGCAGTACAAAGACCACCCCCCCCCCCCCCCCCCCCTTACACGTCACACAAAACACTGAGAGGTCTTACAGGGTGACTTGCGCCAATCATATGGTGCTGCCACAATGTCCACATCGCGAGTGTAGCCGTGTTCCTTCACGAAGAAGTTGACCATGGCATGGAGATAGTGTGACTCTGGGATCAACTCCACCAGAGGATCCCTGTCCAGGTACTCTACGGATGCTGTCGAGCCGAAATGCGGCACGCGAATTTGCATGCCTTCCGGCTCGGAATACTCGAGGGACATTGGATCGAAGTCCAACCTGCCATACAGAGAGTGTGGAGTTTGATCACTGGGTATGAGACATGCACATACATCTACATGTACATGTACATGTATGCTCAATCCTCGAACATCAATTATGTAATCAAGTCCTTCTTTGGTGTTAACTTGGAGTTTCCTGTTTGGAAAAAAACACATTGATCAGACAGCATATCCAGAATTGCTATTCACCAGACATATGCATGTACATGTACAGTGTGTATGTACGCGTATACGACCTGACTCGACAACAGCAAACGAAGCGGAAGGCAGTACTACCGAAGTATAAGCAACTTCGAGCCAAAAAGGTCAAGTGCTCTCTGCCTTATGACGTCATATTGGATGACAAAGGGACACCTCTCTCTGACAATGCCATCCAGGATCTGCTGTCTGCCCAATAGGACATATCAGGGAACCCCCAGCCAGACAACCGCGCCGTCCTCAAAGTTGCTCATATAAACATCTGCAGTCTACGAAACAAAGTTCATGAAATCCATCATATCCTGCATGCCAATAAAATTCACATCATGTCAATTAATGAAACCTGGCTAGACAGCTCAGTATCAGATTCCCTGCTGAACATCCCTGGATATCGGATATATCGGAACGACAGGAACCTAAGGGGCGGAGGTGTGTGCTTGTACGTCATGTCTAGTCTCCGCGCTCGTCTCATCATGCCCGCATCTAACCGGACACATCTGGAGTCGTTGTTTGTGTCAGTTCGCATTGCACGGGAGCCAGATGCGTGTAAGCTCCTCGTGAGTTCAGTCTACCGCCCACCGAGCTCTGGTACAGAATTCTGGGAGCAGTACAGTGCCCAGTTGGATGGCATTTTCGTGGACAGCTCTGACCTGCTAGTTCTGGGAGACTTGAACACGGACATCTTACAACCGACTCTACATCATAATCAGCATCTACTTAAGCTTTGTGCAGAGCACCAGCTGCAGAACATTGTCCACGCACCAACTAGAGCGCCGTCAAACACGTGTCTTGACCTGGCTCTGTTGAACACTACCTTTCCATTGCCCAATCCAACGATCATTCCCATGTCAGATCTTACTGATCACCACCTAGTCAGCCTTGATATTGTAATACCGGAATGGAAGCCCCCAGAAACCCAGAGAACTAAGGTTGTGAGAAAACCAGGAATAGCTACTATCAACTACTCTCAGTTTAATGCTGACCTGAATAATATGCTCGAGGACTCATCCTCATTTTCAACATTGGACAGTCAAACTTGCCATCTTCTAACGTCTATTGCTGCTGTTACTGATACGCATGCTCCATCTAAACAAGTTAGACTACCCCTCTGTCCCAAACCTAAGCCTCAACCGTGGGCAACACCAGAGTTACGGAAACTGCTGCAGCGCAGAACTACTCTGCATCGTAGAGTCCTTTCGCAGCCTGGGAATATGGTTCTTAAGCAACAGTATCGTTCTGTCAGACGTGAGGGGACGCTTCTGAGTAGGAGACTGAAATCCCGTTTCCTGATGCACCAGTTCTCGGCACTCCGACGAAATCCTAGAGGTCAGTGGGCTCTTCTTAACAGTCTGTCCGGCAGGCGGAAAGTAAGAAATCAGCCAATTGCATCTCTCAGTAGTCTGACAGAGACATTTGCTAACATAGTGCACGATCCAAGCCGGCCTGCTGACATATGTTTACGCCCAGCCACCCAACAGCCAACTACTGCTGCTCGACTGTCCCATTTTCGACCCGTAACTGTGGCGCACATCACCACACTGCTCAAAGCAACAAACACAAGTAAGTCACCTGGCTCTGACAACGTCTTACCAGCCGTACTGAAGCATGGTCGTGATTCCATAGCAGTTTCTCTCACTGATATTATCAATAAATCTCTGAGCACAGGGTGCGTACCAGATATTTTCAAGAATGCCACAGTCAGCCCAGTTTTCAAATCAGGCGATGCAGAAAGCTCTACTAATTACAGACCAGTCTCATTATTGCCCATATGCAGCAAGATATTAGAACGAGTTGTCTTGGAGCAGCTGATTGCATTCTTTAAGTTACACAACATCATGTACGTGCCTGACAATCAATTTGCCTACCGTACCAACAGCTCGTGTGAGGACTGCCTAGCGCTAGTGGTCGACGAATGGCTCCAAGCCCTTGATAACAACGAGTACTGCGGCATAGTGTTTGCAGATATGAGCAAAGCTTTTGACCGAGTTAAGCATCAAGAGCTCATTGACGAGTTGAAGATGCTTGGCATTGCTGACACTGCACTTGCTTGGTTTGCAAGCTACCTGACCAGACGCGTCCAGCGAGTAAGAGTAGGACAACAGCTAAGTGGGGCCCGCCCTTGCACAAGAGGCGTCCCACAAGGCTCCGTGCTCGGCCCATTGCTATTTTGCATTTACACCCGTGACGCACCACAGTGCTTCCAACATGCATTAAATCAACTTTATGCCGATGATATCACACTCTATATCAGGCACAAGTCCATCCAGATCATCACAACCCAGCTGAGTGCTGACCTTGCCACTCTGGACCGCTACCTAGATCAGAAGGGATTGGTGTTAAACCCGTCCAAGACTCAGTTTGTCCTGCTCAGGCGACCGAGCACGGAGCTGCCACCTGGCACCGCAGTCAACTGCCGGGGCACTTCCATAGTCCCATCTGCTTACGCTCGGTACTTAGGAATACTGGTTGACGAACATCTGTCTTTCTCAACCCAAGTGGATGCAGTATGTGCAAATGTCAATAGGAAGGTTGGAGCATTTGTCCACGCAAAGCAGAATATCAGCATTTTTGGCAAACGACTTTTCTATTTATCGATCATTCAGTCCACATTTGAGTTTGGCAGCACTGCATATATTCATTGCTTATCACAAGCCCTATATGACAAGCTTCTTACTGCCAGCCGCGTAGCATTAAAGAGAATATTTTCGTTGGATAGAATGACTCCCACCACTCTTCTATACAGTCATACTAACTTGTACGCCCTTGAGAAACGCCTCAACTTCAAAACCTATGTATTTGTTTACCGCTGCCTGAATGGACTTGCTAGTCCTCTTCTGCGAGACCGCTTTACCTTGCGCGCCCATGGTGCTCGCACTGCAGCCACCACCCGTGGCCAAGTCTCTGCTGCTCTTGTTCTGCCCCCCGCTAACACCCGATATGGCTTTAGTGCAATTTCTTATTTGGGCGCTGCCAGGTGGAATACACTTCCACCGGCTTGCCGCATGTCTAGTTCACCAGCTGAATTTCGCTCATCCATCAAATTATACCTAGGGTTCCCTGTAAAAAGGCGCTGACGCCTGTTGGGAATTCCCTAGTAAAAGAAGAATAAATAATAATAATAATAATAATAGTATACCGAAATGGGGTAGATATGCCAAAAGCAGAACATTTCAGGAAGGTAAGGAAATGGGCAAGGGAGGGGAGGGGGTACATGTGTAGATAAAATACCGTAGTTGATACGTACACTGCAAATTGCCTTTATACGGTGTGTAGTGCAGACCGATTAGGATACTCAGGTTGCAGGCACATTAGAACAATGTACATAGTGTACATGTACATGTACCGCTTGTGATAGCCTGAACTGGAGACTGGAACTGCTACAAGCTTGCATGGCAAGTCTTTGAAACATACCGCCTTACTCATAACCCTACATGAAGTGAACAATCAGCAACCTTCTGCTGCATAGCGGTGTACCCATTCTGCTATGTTTCGATCCGAGTGAAATGGACTATTATGGGACATGCTGCCTCTACCCTAGCAAATCCACTGGCAATACCGTGCATAGAGACTACTTCAGTATAATCAGTAGCAGTAGCCGTTTGTTAGCGGCCGTCGTGAATTCCCTTTGGGAACGGACGCGATAATTTACTGTTTTTTTAGTAGCCGTTGCCTTACCTTAGGTTGTTTGTTGCACAATTTGCGAACGACCCCGCTAGTTGGTCGAGGGCAAGCCATACTTGACCCCAATTCTTGAGGCGGAAACAGGGGTGTTTGGTTTTAAAGTCCTTGGACTGCTTGCCATCCAGCTGACTGCCAGCAAGACCTGGCACTGGAGGAACAAACAAACAAACAAACAGCAACGATGAGGATGAGGACGACAACAACAACACCAACAGCAACAACAACAACAGCAACAACAACAACAACAATGATAGTGATGTGGCACTATGCTGTCTAGTGTCCACTGTCTGAGTATTGGATTTTGGAGATTCAAATACACCAACAGCAGCAGCAGCAGCAACAGCAGCAGTAACCTCTTCAAGTTGTGGTCAGTCTACCATGACTGGGAGGATTCTGATTATGATCTCCCCGCCATCGTGCTGTTCATGGGCACGTGATGATCCTGGTTCTGGGAGAAGAAAGGCTCATAGTCAGTACCAAGAGAGTAAATAAGCTCTCGAGCTTATTTACTCTCTTGGTCATGCACTAAAACAGGGTGTAGACCACACTCTGCACCTGCGACTCCTTCATTTGACAATGGACATGTACACCTTGCAGAACTGTGCCGTGTCTCTTGCAGGCTGCATAAGTCTTGATGATCTTGTAGTGATAATAATGACGCTGTACATGCATGCATGCAGTACCGAACATGCATGTCAGGGGCGTCGGAAGGTATTTTAGTGTGGTACGGTCAGCCATCTGAAGTACAATTTACTCGTGGGGGAGTGGTGGCGGAGCCGCGGAAAATTTGGGAATTTTAGATCCCAGATCAGTGTATTTTGTTGATTCGCGGGGTACCTGGGGCAAAAAGTGGTACGGTCAATACCGTAGTGACCGTACCGTGTGCGACGCCCCTGCATGTACACTGTAGCAACAAGACAGAGTTAGTGTAATGTTCATACATACATGTACACAACATGTACAATCAATATTATTACAATGTAACTCGCATTACATGTATGTATACCGTAACCATGGTCACACTGCTGCTACATGAACACTGTACCTGTACCTGTACATATAGGTACATCAGTGAACATCCTACCAGTCATGGTGCTTGGCCCCCTGCTGTTCAGCGTCTATAACCGGGATGCTCCATCGGTTGTAGAGCCAGCAAAGTCAATCCAATTTGCTGATGACATTGAGGTTCAATTCAGCCACACGTCAACGGATGTCATCTCAGCTAATCTCTCCACAGCAGTCACAAAGCCGCAGTCAGTGACTGGCTACGTCAACGTGGCCTCATTCTCAATGAGACAAAGAGTCATCTCCTAGCAGTGTATGCCCGATGCAAACGGCCCACACCACCGATGGAAGTCACCCCTCCCGGAAGCCTCCTCAAATAGCTCGGAGTGACTGTGGACAACACTTTGACCGGCATTCAAGGAGCACATTGATAAACGGTGGCAGCCAAGATGGCTCAGAAGATCGGAGCACTCTGGCGCGCACGCCGCTGCCTCAGTGAAGCTGCAAGGGCACGGTACGTGACCTCGGTAGTACTGCCAGACGCCCTATACCAGTGTATACGCCTCACCCTCTTTCCGTGGCTCACTGTCGAGTGCTGAGACCAGGAGGCTGCAGGTTCTGTTGAATCGAGCAGTCCGCACTGTCTATGGTGTACCCATGCGACACTCATTTGAACCTTTGCTGACCCGGCTGGGAGTTTTCCAGGTGTCAGAGCACTTCCACCAGAACACCTTAGCTCTTGTGTGGAAGAGCCTACACGGTGAGACATCGCAGTCCGTCACAGAACTAGCAACTCCACAAATAACCAGAGAAACCCGCCTTCAGCAGCAGGACGGACTCAGTCTTCCAGTTGCAAGAACAAACGCTGGCAAGTCTAGGTACGTTACAGGTATATGGAACAGACCTTGAGACGTCCGCTCCAGCACAACGCCGGAGACCTTCAAAGCTGCAGCAGCAGCACCGTACGCAATTAGTCATCGACTGTGCCTGATGTACATGTATTCCTTGCTAAATAAATACAACAGTGGCAAATATCATGTTTGACAATGGATCCGTACTACAGTCAACTTCGCTTATAACGACACTCGGCGGGGCATCAGAAAAGTGTCGTTATTCGCGAAGTGTCGTTATACCCAAGTCCCATTATATGTATTACAGTTGGATGTGACTTTGCTCTGGGCATAGAAATTCTGTCGTTATTCGCGAATTGTCGTTATATCCGCAGTCGTTATTAGCGAAGTTGACTGTATTGATCTCCAGCTGACTATCATTTCCAGCGCATACACACTTTTTTCTCTCTCTCTTTTTTTCTTCCCTCTTCGCTACCTTGTCATTGTGAAGAAATTCCCGTTTTGGATTTCGCGAAGTAAAACAAAGTAAAAAAGAAAGAAAAGTAAATCATTACATTGTACACTATCCGTACTACCAAGAGTGCATAAAGCTAAAGGTTTATGCACTCTTGGTTGTCTACTACACTCAATCTCCGCACCGATACAATGTAGCGTTACGTACATGTTTGTACAAATGTAGCTGTTTCGACCATGCTAGATCCTCCTGAGCGGAGCTCAGAGGCACAGCTCAGGCGAACCAATGGCAATGACGTCCACTATACTACCAGTAACGTTACACGTACTTACAGTGTAATGGGTCAGACTCAGACTTGCAATGTATCATAGCCTGAAGTTAGTCTACTATAATTATAGCTAACTTACTTACCAAGAATGATAGGAGGTCGAACAACATTGGCTGCCGTGAGTGCACTGTAGCCGGTCATCGTGCTAACCAGCAACACAGCCACAGCTACATGTACATGCACGGTGACATGCATGGTAATCATCTTGCACAGCTTCATCTTCAGGCGTTCGGCTATTCGGTCCTTTTCTCTTGTCCTCTCTCTCGAGGGTTAGACGTCGCGAGCCGTCAGTGAATGATCTTGCACCTTCCTTGCACCCTTGTTCTCTGGTTTGTTGGTCTGTCCGGCGCCAGCTTTTATAGGGGCCCGTCATCATGGTCCGATCACGCCAATTCGGTGTGCGACCTTCCGAGGTTTCATGACTGTCTGCCGATCATGCATCTCCGGAAGAAAGGAGTCAGGGCTGACGCAGAATCCCTGTGTGTACATTGTTTGAATTGCAACCCAAAGACGTGAAGTGCTGGCCACATAATTGCTACATACCTGCTGTACCCGCAGTGGACATTGTGAGAATGCCACTCTGCTGGACACTGAGATAACTGGTAACCGGTTACTGGTTGGACGGGAGTTGTTGGACACTGGCTTATTATAACATCTACCATCACTGCCATCAGGTCCTACTCGCAGCAAGATGTAATAATAATAATTCTTGCTTCGAGTAGGACCTGATGGCAGTGTATTATTACATCCTGCTGCGAGTAGGAGGTGATGGCAGTGATGGTAGATGTTTGTGTTTAGTTACTGTTCAGTGTCCCCAAGCGATACCAGTACAATCATATACAGTCATGTACATGATTGTCGATAATGGTAGTAGGGCTATCCACTGAGTATCCAGAGTTCCCCCACACCACACACGCATGTCAAACCATGACTGTCACCTGTGTCAGACAAGAGGCCCGGACTCTGTAGCATCTGTCTAAGTTACCAAGTCTAAGTTCTAACTAACGCCGAACAGGGTTGACGTTGCCGGACGTTACGTGCAAACGCCTTGTATTGTACTGTAACGCCCTGTATTAGTATATAGCTGTACTGTAGGCTAATGCCAGCACTAGCCAATACTGGCAATTAAATATTATAATTATGCCAGCGGTATTTCCCCGAAACTATCACAATGATATTAGGACAAAAAGGACAAAGGTACGACTACATGACAAGGTGTAAGGACGTTAGGTACGTGCATGACATGCTTGACGGACATCAAGAGTACATAACCCAGGGTTACTCAGGGTTATGACGTGTACTCTTGGTGACATGCATGGGAACGAGTGCCCGCATGCCTGCCTGCCTCTGCAGAATGAATCTGTAGGATTAGTTAGTTACTGTAGTTACGGTCTTCGCGTGCCAGACACTACCTTGGCACTGCCAAGGCACTGCCAAGGCATTGCCAAGGCACTGCCAAGGCACTGCCAAGGCACTATTCAGTCGACAGAGAGTGCGGCTCAGCGAACGAGTGCCGAGTGAGAGTGAAAAGTTGAAAACTGCACATTCCCGTGTGGTATTGGCACCAGGGAGTTGTCAAATACTACAATGTAGACATGTATTTTGACGATTACCCGTTTTGCACTGCTAAGTGCCAACCCAGACTCGTAGACTGCCATTTTGGTTACTAGCGTTCCGTACACATACATGATTGCACAGGCACAGCACGTCTTTAAAGATGTTAGTAAGTGTACACTTCCCTAAAGAATGGCAAACTCCATTGCAGCCATTTACACTTCAGTTAAAAATACTCATTCAAACACTCACACATACACATGGTCGCTTTGCTGCAAACGTCATTGTGTGGTGAACGTTCCCGTGAGACAGTCTAAAACCGTTTTAATTAGCACCCCGGATAACCCAGCGGTAGGCGAAGCGCCTACGGGTGAGTGGATTCCTGTACATGTAAGTCTCACAACCTTATTACTAGCATCAGCCAAACCACCTCAGGTATAATTGTATTGTATACAAAGGCACACAATGAAAACCGTAGCAAATTCATTCCGTTGTGACTCAGAGTTTCATGGCTGAACCAATCATCAGACAACGAACGTCTGATGATTGGTTCAGCCACGAAACTCTGAGTCACAACGGAATGAATTTGCCAAGGTTTTCATTGTGTGCCTTTGTGTACGCCGCTCTGCCTGAATCAGGCATTGAGCACTGTTGCAGAACCAAAGCATATTGCAATATTGCCTCTGTATTGTATTGTATAGTATTATTTTACTTGGGCATTCCCAACAGACCCTAAGGTCTTCTTACAGGGCGCCCAAGATCAGACATGGTGGTGGCCTGGCAAAAGCGAAACGTCTATGCACCTTGGGTGCCTGGCCAGGAGGCATGAGTTCCCAGTTGTGCATGGCCCCATGGGTATGGGGACCGACAGCCGGAAAAATTGCCGTTCCCAGGCAGGACTTTAACCAGGTACATGTACCTCGGACTTCTTAATCTTTTCTTTTAAAATTTAAAGCATGGTAGTAGACCAGCCCTCTGTGTCTGCCCAGTACTGATCGCGATGTCGAGTGCAGATCCCGATAGCCTTCTTTCTTTCTTCTTTCTTATACATGTATGTGTACTACTTTTCTTTTGTTGATTTGGCCGTGGTTGGCTATCACCCCTCTCTCATTCAATATTGGCATTGCTTGCCACGAGATGATGATGCAATAATAATAATAATAAAGCGACCCCCGAAAGAGAATGCAATGTGCACGCCGGGTGCGAAGGCCCATCATTAGGGCGGATGAAACATAAAACTAAATGCAAACAAAAAGCCGAACTGAATACATGTGTAGAAATGCTGTGAGGTGCTGTAACACCAGTGCGATGGTCACAAAACACCCTGTCTTCGTGATTATAAAAAATTAATAATTATAATGTCCAACACATGTACAGTTCAATTACCATGATTGCACGGATCCGCGGAGGCGTGTACAGTATTTTCCGGTTACTGCTAGTAGTACTGGTTTTCGAACAGAATCTGCCAACTTTTCGAGCTTATAACCAGGGAGTAGTAGAAGTGTTTTGCTTGTACATGTACGAGTACTACTCCCTGCTGGTAAAACTGCCTTGTTGATTCCGGCAGCGCCTGCCATGCGCATATGCATGGCCTGTCGTGTTTGCAGCTTGGGCTGCTCTCCCCAAATGTTTGCAGGAGAGCTTCGCGGCATGAGCCTGTCCACCCTGGCTTGCCTATGGTTTCACTCAGGGAATCGTGAAAGGTTTTCACATGGCCTGGTTTCGCTAATTCCAATTGACATGTAACTATAAGACCAGGGAGTTGTGCAAAGCAGGGAGTTATAATGACTCCCTGGTGAAAAGCGAAAAGCCCCAGTTTCATGACTCCCTTATTCCTCAGACAGATCAGTCGATCAGGGCATGGGCCATTGGCATTGCCAGTGCCATGTGGGGCATGTACATGTAGATCTACATGATAGATCAATGATCGTGGTTGGCGCAAAGGTTTGTGCCAGCCTTCTCACGTCAGTCACGGACTGTGTAGACTTCTGAGACTGAGGCTGCGTTTACACGACAACGCACGGCCAGTTTTCCGTTTTCAGTCCCGCATTTCTTTTTTCGTTTTCGTACGTTTACACGATCAAAGCCGATCCGAGGTGGTCTCCGTTTGTACCGTTTTCAAGCGTCTACACGAGAGCAAAGGATCCGCCAAAGTTCGTCATGTGCCAAGTGTTGCCGTGGAAGCACCAATCACACTCAAGTAATGGTTGAAAACAGGCACACGACAACACACGTCACATGACGAAAATTGTAAAAACAATTTTTTGAATTGTCGGATCCGTGTAAACGGCCGAAAACGAAACAAACGTGACGGAAAACGAGGCCAGCACACCGTTTCGACTGTTTACACACCCAAATTTATCCGGCAGAACATTTCCGTTTTCAAATTCTTCCACCTTGGCCAGCGTTTTGGTTTTCTTCCGTTTTGGTGTACAACTTTAACGTTTTGCTCCGCGTACCGTGTAAATGAACCATGGATCCGAAAGGATTTCGTTGCGTTTTCGCCCCCAGCGTTGTCGTGTAAACGCAGCCTGAGGGTGCGTTTGGTTGGTACGATCTAGAACAGGATCGAACAGCTGGTGCACATGGAGCAGCCTCATGCCAACCAAACGGTACTCCAGAAACAGAGCACATTTTTGTGGAAAAATGTGCCAAACCGGGTGCATCTGTTGTGCGCGTTCTGTCGATTTGGAAAATCGATCGATTTTCTTGCGCGATCTGTCGATCGACAGATCGCGCAAGGATCGATCGATCGGAAAGCGGTGGCGAAACCATTCAAAACAAATCGATCGATTTGGAGCAGCTCCGAAACGTCGTACAGTGTATGTACTTTGGTGAACAGCTTTTCAAATGAAAGAAACCAGTTACGGTACCTTTTCTGAGTGCAATTAATCTTCTTCCCCAAATAATTCAAAAATCAGTTCCTTCCGAAAATTCCATCGTGCTGGACCTCGAAGCTGAACGTCATAAGCAAATAGTCAAGCCGTGTGTCGTCTGGATATGCAGTTGTTTGTCATAGCCAACATTCTTCTGGTCCGTTCGTCCTGCCATTTTCCTGACGATCGCAATGAATACGAGCAGCTCTCATGCTCAGGTTAGTGTTTATTGATCTGTCTCTGCACCCACTGCAAGGTATAATTTTTGTGATGCAGCCACTAGCCCATTGTGGAAGTAAGGGAATCACCCAGGTTCTTCGGATTCTCGTCCTGTCCGAAAAATCTCCACGTTTCAACTTCTCATCTTCCCCTCAGGCATGAGCTTGCATATTCATATTTTGTGTTTGCTTTGACAGTGCATTTCATAGGTATCGTTCAGACTTTTAGGGCCCTGTAAAATTGGTGTTTTCCTTCCCGACAGTGATAATAATCGCAATCTATAAAATACATGCGCAGTCATTCTATAGTGTGATGAAACACAAGTGTAACTGTAAGAAAAGAGAAAGAGAGAGGGTGAATAAAACAAACATATGTGCAAAATACAGTTACGGTGCTAAGGAAAGAATGTGGATGCCGTGACATGTTCTTTCTGAATGCATCGGTCTGGCTTACGCTTGTGAATGTAAACAGCATCTATGACTTTTAACTGATTGAAATTCTTTGCAAAACAAACAATACTACAATTGTAAACCGAGAATCATTATACGCCAAACGACACGGGTCACTGAACAATAAATGCTTAAACCCTGCCGTGTTCTTCTTCTCATCGCCAACCTCCCCTTCATCTTCATCCTACAGCGTAAAATGAGTGAGGTGTGGTTTGAGATATGGTTGTTTTTTTAGTTGCCGTGAGAGGGAGAGACAGAGAGAGAGAGAGAGAGAGAGAGAGAGAGAGAGAGAGAGAGAGAGAGACAGAGAGAGAGAGACAAAGACAAAGACAGACACACAGAGAGAGAGAGAGAGAGAGAGAGAGAGAGAGAGAGAGAGAGAGAGAGAGAGAGAGAGAGGGAGGGAGGGAGAGAGTGAGGCTCTGTCGTTCTGGAGATGTGTTGGCGGTTTTCTCTTTCACCTCTCTTTTCTCTTTATAGTTTTTCACTAATTCGTCATTCAACCCAGAGCTGTGTTTGTTGGCTGGTCGACCACAGGATTTTGTGTGGGGTTGTTCTGGAGTGTCGGACTTTTGTTGTAG